ATAAGTTGTGCGAGTTTAACCGGGTGCTACGTAGTACGAGAGAAAGGTATTTTTCTGAAATGATTGAAGGCTGCAGCAACAATCTGCGTGTTCTGTTCTCAACAGTTAATAGATTAACAAACCCCCCTGTTCAAATGCCATTAGAGCTTACTTCCAAACGTAAATGCAATGAGTTTGCTAATTTTTTCAATGACAAGGTTCAAGGCATCAAAAGCGCCATTGTCTCCAATCCACAGATAACCATCCAACAGCCAGAAAGGCTCTCTGAGCTAACTCACTTTGCACCTGTAAATGATAAAACTGTCCAAGAGATAATCTCCAGTTTGAGCTCCTCCACATGCAGCCTGGATGTACTACCCACTAGATTTCTGAAGTCTGTTCTGAGCAGTCTGTTACCTTCACTCACACAGATAGTAAACATGTCCCTTCATTCTGGAATATTCCCAAAGGCCCTGAAAACTGCAGTCATCAGGCCCCTGCTAAAAAAGAGCAGTCTGGATGCCACTGTACTTAACAACTATCGTCCCATCTCAAATCTGCCATTTATGGGGAAAGTCCTTGAGAAAGTTGTCTACCTACAGCTTACTAGATTTCTTATAATCAACAACTCATTTGATATGTTTCAGTCCGGCTTTAGACCCCACCCACAGCACTGAGACTGCTCTCGTTAAGGTTACAAACGATATCCGGCTGAACACTGACGCAGGCAAAGTCTCAATCTTAATCCTGTTAGATCTAAGTGCTGCCTTTGACACCGTCGACCATGAGATCCTCTTACAGAGACTAGAGGACTGGGTTGGCGTCACTGGCACCGCCCTAAGTTGGTTTAGGTCTTACCTTGAAGACAGGAAGTACTTTGTGGAGATTGGAAACTGTGTCTCAGATCATATGGCCCTGACCTGTGGAGTCCCACAGGGGTCGATCCTGGGACCTCTTCTGTTCAATCTCTACATGCTGCCGTTAGGTCAGTTAATACGCAGAAACAAAGTTTCCTATCATAACTATGCAGACGACACTCAGATCTATGTCTCACTGACTGCAGGAGAACATGGACCAGTGGACTCACTCCTTCACTGTATCCAACAGATCAGTGAGTGGATGCAAAACAACTTCCTTCAGCTAAACGCAGACAAAACTGAAATGATTGTCTTTGGTCCCCAGAAACAAAGAGAGAGCGTCATCTGTCACCTACAGTCTCTCTCCCTAAAACCTTCAAACAAGGTCAGAAATCTAGGGGTAATACTGGACTCAGACTTAAATTTTAATAGCCACATCAAATCAGTAACATCAGCAGCTTTTTACCATCTAAAAAACATTGCCAGGATCAAAAACATAGTGTCTAAAGCAGACTTGGAGATTCTTATCCATGCATTTGTCTCCAGTAGGTTAGACTACTGCAATGGCCTGCTCACAGGTCTGTCCAAACAGGCTGTAAAACAGCTGCAGTACATTCAAAATGCAGCAGCTCGAGTCCTGACAAGAACCAGGAAGTACGACCACATTAGTCCAGTCCTCAGGTCTCTGCACTGGCTTCCTGTGGCTCAGAGAATAGACTTTAAAACAGCTCTGCTTGTGTACAAGTCTCTCCATAGCCTCGCACCAAAATATATTAGTGACATGTTAGTCCCATATGAACCAGCCCGGACTCTGAGGAGCACAGGGACTGGACTCCTGTTAGTGCCCAGAGTCAGAACTAAACATGGGGAGGCTGCTTTTCAGATTAATGCTGCTAAAATCTGGAACAGTCTTCCTGAAGATGTGAGACAGGCCTCCTCTCTGACAATGTTTAAAACCAGGTTAAAGACGGTTCTGTTTAACTGTGCATACAACTGAGGGATTTTATATTTTTATCTTTCTTTTTAATGTTCTGTGATAATTTATGATTTTAATGCTTTCTTGTTTTGTTCAGCACTTTGAATTGCCTTGTGTATGAATTGTGCTATATAAATAAACTTGCCTTGCCTTGCCTTGCCTTAAGGCAAGAAGATCAGAGGAGATATAAAGACAAGCTAAAAATAAGTATATGAGACCGAACTGAACAAATCCAAAGCCCAGATGAGACCTGGGATGATGAGAAGAAACATTGGTCAGACTCAGCTCTGTCTTGGCACCGATCTGCTGGGACTGGGAGGCATTTATTCTTACTTCATAGAAAACCCAGGACCCTTCACTCATGAAGGGACCGTGGTGAAAATCCATCCATCGTAAAGTGGTCCGGCATTTCGCCGTCGTGGTAAAGCACATTGAAAGCGGGTTGCCTCTTTTTGCAGTTACTTACGGTAAAGGTGGAACAGGAAGCTGCGGGGATGAGCAACCAAAATGCAATGTTTAAAATGAATCATCACAGTGAACAAGTCCGCAGTGAAAGTAGTTGCAAAACTTAGATTTGTTTATGAATTTTGATCCCCTCATCCCCCCGGCTCCCTGGTCTACGTTTACCGTAGGTAACAGCATAAAAGGGCAACAACTTTACCACAGCCGTTTTTCACTGTTCTTTTATGAAATCATTTTTTAAAAAAACTTAATCTGTCCCCAGCGGGCCGGACCACCGACCACACAACAAGAACGGACCATTTGATTTTGTAAAACCTCTCTCCAAACGTGTAAAAATAGCTAACTCTCTAGCATCCAGGTAGCTTTCTGCTTTAGTTCCACACAGTCACGTGACCGGAGCGGAAAAACGATAAACAACGACGTCACTCCAAGATCCTCCTTGACTCTTATGGTCATATTTATTGGTTATTATTCATCTATTTGGAAATCATGACGTTTACCGTAATTATAAATTTGACACTCCTTAGTGCAATTTAAATAAATATAAAATGTATATGTACAATCACTAGTAATATTTGTAATCAGGGGACCTCCATAGTTTAGACCTGGTACTGATCATTTGTCACAATTGCCTTTTGTTTGTTGGTCACTTCTTCATGTGTAGAAAGCCAACAGCTCATGTGCATGCCGAGTCTTGCAATAACCACATATTAGACAAGGCTGGAATTTCAGTCATGTCCAAAGAGAAATGCAGCTGGAGGCTCTGTGCTCCATCTCTGAATCTCTACAACACATTTGGATTGGAGAGGGAAAGAGGACAGATGTCAGATTATGTCAGATTATGTCAGATTATGTAAAGCAGCGTTTTTTTCGGGAACAAACTGCACGTAACTGGCCCAAAACGTCACTTTTCAAAGGTGTTTATTAAAATGCAAACCGTGCTTCAGGTTTTCCACACACGGGGGCGTGTCTTTCAGCGTGTTTACAGATTGAGATTCTCACACTAAAATTAAACGCACAGTGAAACCAGTCTTGTCTGAGTCAGTGAAAGTGGAAAAACAAACAACTCATCCTGCTGCATTCAGAATCATCCGCTTATTGCAAGCTTTTTTTGTATGGAGTTTACTGTTGTTCAAATGGAATAAGTCTCAGTGTTTTTTACTCATTATTTTTATTACAACCACATTTTCTTATTTCTGCCACATTCAGAACCAATACAGCCACTATTCTAAACCATATGAAAGTACTACTTAATGGAGACTAACGGATATTTGGTCTGGAGCCATCGTCGTTTTCAACGTTTGACTGCACGACATAAATGACACTTTTAAATTGCTGATTTTATAGGTAGATATATAACACAGATCAAGCCACAATGTGGGTTATATATTACCTGCATGTGAGAACCAGATCCTGTCAGACCTCTGATGCTAAGCAGGGCAAGGCCTGGTTAGTACTGTGATGGGAGACCTCTGGGAACACCAGGTGCCACAGTGGGGCGGCTGCGTCTATAAAGTCGTGTGTTCTCAGGCAAGACACTTCACCCACATTGCCTAGAATGAGTCTGGTGTGTGGATGGTTGATGGTGGTACGAGGGGCTGATGGCACTGGTTGCCTCTATTCTGTCAGTGTGCCCCAGGGCAGCTTTAGCCTAGTGTATACTTGCGCGGCGTGGCTTACGTTAGCGGTTGCGGTGGACCTACGTAAGCACAATTGATGTTATACTGGCGCGTTCCCCTTACGGAGTTTTGAGGAGAATGTTGTAATCCCACAACAAACCACATGAGGGCGATCACACAGGAGCGGCCCCATTTACGCTGCTACTTTGTCCTCTTCAGAACAACAATAACAAACAAAGCTGTTTGAGCTCATTACACGTGTTTCTACTGTAGGTTTATGTGATAGTTTTATGGATTCATTATTTTATAAGTCATTTCAACTGTGATGCTGTGAATAAAGACACAGTTCTTGTTGGAAACATAGTTATTATTAAATAGTTTTCAGCACAAACAGCAAAACAATAATAGTGGTAAATATCTGAGACAAACATGAACGATTTACGAGTGCAGGAGGAAAGCAACAAACGCAGCTACGATTCAAACAAAGACAGGAACAGTGCAAAACAAACGACTGCACAGTTTATAAGTTATATATATGTTAGATATAAGTTATATATATGTTAGATAGTCCACAGTCTCCTGTATATCAGGCTCTGAGCCCAAACTGCTTTTCCTTCGAAGCACAAAGCTCTCTGCTCCATAGTGCCTCGTCCATGTCCCTGCTGCAGCCGCTCCGTGCTTCCTTCCAATACACACACACGGACCAATCACAGCGGAGCTTCCTTGCGGCGACCCTTACGTAGTTAGAAAATTTCAATGCTGCGCGGCAGGCGACGTAAGGGCCTTGCGGTGACCAACGCGTTGCGCAAGTGACGTCACGTCACCTCCGTAAGCTCCGCGCTAGGCTTTAGTAGTTTATCACCACCGTTTATGTAGTAAAAGAATTATCTTTGAGTGTCCAAAAAAGCGCTTTATAAAGCCGATGCATAATTATTATTATTGTTATGAATATGTGTTTTAATATATTAATTAATTATTAATTAATAATAATAATTAATATTTAGTATATTATGTAAACCTATATCATTGAAACAATAAATAGCCGTCAGTTTCGTTCTGTCGTATTATCCAGAAAAACTCATTTTCCACTGTAACTCTCATGTTCAGGGCAGCGACAGATCACAACATGGACAACACCACGGCCATGCTGAGAGAGTGGCTGAAGAAAGCACAAAGCCTTTATCACTATGTGGAGTGGAGGCCCATGGAGGAGCCCAAGTGAGTGCTGTCATCACTGGAGCAGGCGGGGTAAATACAAACACTGTAAAAGTACTGCATTGATTTATTTGATATCACAGGTCATACACAGACGAGTGGGGTCCGAAGCACTGGCCTCCCTCCAGGTTCGGTCATGTGATGAAGCTGCGGCAGGCTGCTCTGAAGGCGGCGCGGGAAAGATGGGCCGACTACATACTGGTAACTAAATAATACAGATAAAATACCTTTTATCTGGGAACTACTCATATATACTGTTTTCCCTGTTTACAAAATTGAACTACAAAAAGATGAGACCTTGATTAGTCTGAGAAATGATCAGGAGTAAGTAAAAGCATTTTAACTTTTGGCTTGTTTTGTCCTTAAGGCTTGGCATACACTGTGCAATTTGACTTGTAATATTATAACTCACAAGAGACAGGAGTGACCACACTGTACGCGCTTAGCTGCTCATACTGTGAGAGAGGACAGTGGAGGAGAGAGAGGAGGAGAGACAGAAGAGGTGAGAGGCAGGAAGAGGTGAGAGACAGAAGAGGTGAGAGACAGAGGAGGTGAGAGACAGGAAGAGAGACAGAGGCGGAGAGAGACAGAGGAGGAGAGACAGAAGAGGTGAGAGACAGAAGAGGTGAGAGACAGAGGAGGAGAGAGACAGAGGAGGTGAGGGACAGAGGAGGAGAGACAGAAGAGGTGAGAGACAGGAAGAGAGACAGAAGAGGTGAGAGACAGAGGAGGAGAGACAGAAGAGGTGAGAGACAGGAAGAGAGAGACAGACAGAGGTGAGAGACAGAGGAGGAGAGACAGAAGAGGTGAGAGACAGGAAGAGAGACAGAAGAGGTGAGAGACAGAGGAGGAGAGACAGAAGAGGGAGAGACAGGAGAGGTGAGAGACAGTGAGAGACAGAAGAGGTGAAAGACAGGAAGAGAGACAGAAGAAGTGAGAGACAGAGGAGGAGAGACAGAAGAGGTGAGAGACAGAAGAGGTGAGGGACAGGAAGAGGTGAGAGACAGAAGAGGTGAGAGACAGGAGGAGAGACAGAGGAGGTGAGAGACAGGAAGAGAGACAGAGGAGGAGAGAGACAGAGGAGGAGAGACAGAAGAGGTGAGACAGAAGAGGTGAGAGACAGAGGAGGAGAGACAGAAGAGGTGAGAGACAGGAAGAGAGACAGAGGAGAAGAGAGACAGAGGAGGAGAGACAGAAGAGGAGAAGAGACAGAGGAGAAGAGACAGAAGAGGTGAGAGACAGAAGAGGAGAGACAGAGGAGGAGAGACAGAGGAGGAGAGAGACAGAAGAGGTGAGAGACAGGAAGAGAGACAGAAGAGAAGAGAGACAGAGGAGGAGAGACAGAAGAGGAGAAGAGACAGAGGAGAAGAGACAGAAGAGGAGAAGAGACAGAGGAGAAGAGACAGAAGAGGAGAGAGACAGAGGAAGAGAGACAGAGGAGGAGAGACAGAGGAGGAGAGAGACAGAGGAGGAGAGACAGAAGAGGTGAGAGACAGGAAGAGAGACAGAAGAGAAGAGAGACAGAGGAGGAGAGACAGAAGAGGAGAAGAGACAGAGGAGAAGAGACAGAAGAGGAGAGAGACAGAGGAAGAGAGACAGAGGAGGAGAGACAGAGGAGGAGAGACAGAAGAGGAGAGAGACAGAGGAGGAGAGACAGAAGAGGTGAGAGACAGAGGAAGGGAAGGACAAAGGAGGAGAGAGACAGTTTACGTTTACAGTCTTCTGCACACCTGGAGTTGTTTTTAGATCCATCCATGCTAACATCAACACTTCTGGCACAGACTTGTAACTCCGCCCCTTATGTCTAAAAGCTCCTGCCTCAGTGTGACGTCAGCGCACCTCTATGACACCAACAGAGCCGTTTTATGACTTTTAAAACAAAAGTAGTGACCATAACATTGTTTTTTCAGATGAAATTATGTTCTTTGCAATCTGTCATTGTCAAATTTGGAAGAAAAAAAAAATCTACACCCCCTTTTCAATGGAAGCATAGGGATAACAGGCAGCCCATTATAATCATTTATTATTGATATTTGTTTCATAATATGTTTTTCAATAACAAGAAACATGCGTGTAAATCATCTCATTATAATTTTAATGGCCAAAAATGTTGCATGATATTTCTTCTTGATATGTTTCAGTTTGTGGACAGTGACAACCTCCTGACGAACCCTCAGACTCTGAACCTGTTGATGGGGGAGAACCTCACCGTCGTGGCCCCCATGATGCAGTCCCGCTCTCTCTACTCCAACTTCTGGTGCGGCATGACTCCTCAGGTGGGCTGGCTTCAAAACAAGTATTATTATTATTATTATTTTATTAATTTAATTCATTCATTAAAGAAGCTATACCCGTTTGAGTTCATAAAAATGCTTATTACTACATACATGTTGTATTATAATCCGTAATTTAATTGAAAGCTTGAGTTCATTGATTCAGCTGTGTATGAACTCTCGCCTCTCAGCAAGAAGGTCCTGGGTTCGAATCCCGGTTGGACGAGGGCCTTTCTGAGTGGAGTTTGCATGTTCTCCCCGTGTCTGCGTAGGTTTCCTCCGGGTGCTCTGGTTTCCCCTACCACTAAAAATATGTACAATAGTTCTGGCATGTGCCTCCTGTACTGGCGACCCCACTCCCAAAAATAACAATTGTAAACCGCTTTGAGACTCCGATGTGCAGTGAAAAGGCGGTATATAAATAAATATTACTTACTACTACTACTACTAAAAAGAGTAGAGACTTTCCTCTCCTCCAATCACAGAGCGAGGCTGCGTCCTCTAGCCTCTACAGCGCTGCTAAACACAGTAGCATGTTAGCATAAGTGGCTATAACTCCTCTGGCTGTAACTGCAGACACAGCAAAACAGCCCAAACCACACAACAGTGAGGAAGAGAAGAGGAACTAAAGCCACAACATGATCAAAGAAGAAACCAAGCCCTGAACAGAGCTAGCTTACATCGTATCCTCTGGAGAGACTGGTCTGAGGGAGAGACCTGCGGGACCGCCTCGGACTATCTACGCTCGGACTATCTACGCTAGGACTATCTACGCTCGGACTATCTACGCTCGGACTATCTACGCTCGGACTATCTACGCTCAGACTATCTACGCTCGGACTATCTACACTCAGACTATCTACGCTCGGACTGTCTACGCTCGGACTGTCGACGCTCGGACTATCTACGCTCGGACTATCTACACTCAGACTATCTACGCTCGGACTGTCTACGCTCGGACTATCTACGCTCGGACTATCTACGCTCGGACTATCTACGCTCGGACTATCTACGCTCGGACTATCTATGCTCGGACTATCTATGCTCGGACTATCTACGCTCGGACAATCTACGCTCGGACAATCTACGCTCGGACCACATTCCTTGCAGAAACGGGTATAGCTCCTTTAAGTAATCGGTTTATTTATTTTAAGCGTTTGCACAGACGATAATATATATAATATATATATATATATATATATATATATATATATATATATATATATATATATATATATATATATATATATATATATATATATATAATACACACAATTAGTGCCCAAACACTCTCTGACCATACACCTCTCATCCACTCCTTGCTCTGTGCTGAATAGATCAAGCTCTTCCCTCCATGCACTTCTTTAGTGCTTTTTTTGTTTAAATATTTTAAAAATGAAATCAGGTTGGACTTTATTTTATAATCATCTGTTAGTTCATTCCAAACAGTAGCTGGTTGCATTGATTGTGATTGACACATTGATTTTAAATTTAAGCACATTTTGTGTTTCCTTTCTGTGATTCTGATGTTTTCTACTGCAGAGAGTTTCCACACGTCCTGAATCATATTTGAGCAGTTTTAAAGAAAGGTCCTTTAAATATGAAACTATTCACTTTCATGTTCTAGAATGTGAATGTCTTCAGTAGAATATACATCGTTGGGCTGAAATGTGCTTTCCACCTGTAACTCTCTGTGCTGCCTCCAGGGGGAGCCCATTTCTTTTCCAACAATAATACGGCTGAAAATACAGCGTGTAACAAGCGTCATTTCACTTGGGGAATTGTCATAATTAATTTATGAGAAATGTCTATATACTTTAATGACTATGCCATCTGGTTTAATGACATCATACTTTTTCAGGACGTAGACGGTTTTTAGCGTAGCTGGACCTAAAACAACCTCAGGAATGTTGTACCGTGGTAAAAGCTCAAAACAATCAATCGTGTATAATCGGTTTTCTTTAAAGTCAACCAAGTCCTGCAGTGTAAGTTCTTCCAAATCTATACACAGTGGATTATTATATTATTTATTATTATTGTGTCATTGTGGATATGAATAGCCACATCAAATCAGTAACATCAGCAGCTTTTTACCATCTAAAAAACATTGCCAGGATCAAAAACATAGTGTCTAAAGCAGACTTGGAGATTCTTATCCATGCATTTGTCTCCAGTAGGTTAGACTACTGCAATGGCCTGCTCACAGGTCTGTCCAAACAGGCTGTAAAACAGCTGCAGTACATTCAAAATGCAGCAGCTCGAGTCCTGACTAGAACCAGGAAGTACGACCACATTAGTCCTGACTAGAACCAGGAAGTTCGACCACATTAGTCCTGACTAGAACCAGGAAGTACGACCACATTAGTCCTGACTAGAACCAGGAAGTACGACCACATTAGTCCTGACTAGAACCAGGAAGTACGACCACATTAGTCCTGACTAGAACCAGGAAGTACGACCACATTAGTCCTGACTAGAACCAGGAAGTACGACCACATTAGTCCTGACTAGAACCAGGAAGTACGACCACATTAGTCCTGACTAGAACCAGGAAGTACGACCACATTAGTCCGGTCCTCAGGTCTCTGCACTGGCTTCCTGTGGCTCAGAGAATAGACTTTAAAACAGCTCTGCTTGTTACAAGTCTCTCCATGGCCTCGCACCAAAATATATTAGTGACATGTTAGTCCCATATGAACCAGCCCGGACTCTGAGGAGCACAGGGACTGGACTCCTGCTGGGACTCTGAGGAGCCCAGGGACTGGACTCCTGCTGGGACTCTGAGGAGCACAGGGACTGGACTCCTGCTGGGACTCTGAGGAGCACAGGGACTGGACTCCTGCTGGGACTCTGAGGAGCACAGGGACTGGACTCCTGCTGGGACTCTGAGGAGCACAGGGACTGGACTCCTGCTGGGACTCTGAGGAGCACAGGGACTGGACTCCTGCTGGGACTCTGAGGAGCACAGGGACTGGACTCCTGTTAGTGCCCAGACTCAGAACTAAACATGGGGAGGCTGCTTTTCAGATTCATGCTGCTAAAATCTGGAACAGTCTTCCTGAAGATGTGAGACAGGCCTCCTCTCTGACAATGTTTAAAACCAGGTTAAAGACAGTTCTGTTTAGCTGTGCTACAACTGAGGGATTTTATATTTGTATCTTTCTTTTTAATGTTCTGTGATTATCTATGATTTTAATGCTTTCTTGTTTTGTTCAGCACTTTGAATTGCCTCGTGTATGAATTGTGCTATATAAATAAACTTGCCTTGCCTATGAAAAACATTTCCTTTTGTTGTTTGGTGATTAAAAGTGAGATTTGTAACAGTTTCCCCACATGTGAACGCATCATCTAAAAATGAAATCCCTGTTATAGGGCTATTACAAGCGGACTCCAGACTACCAGCCCGTCCGGGAGTGGAAGCGCCTGGGCTGTTTCCCGGTTCCCATGGTTCATAGCACGTTCCTGATAGATCTGCGTCGCGAGGCCAGTAAAGCGCTGGCCTTTCATCCGCCTCACCCGGACTACAGCTGGGCCTTTGATGACATCATGGTGTTTGCCTTCTCCGCACGGCAGGCAGGTTTGTCTCCGCTCTCTTCGAATACACACAAATCCTAGTGCATTGAAATTCCTCTTTGTGATGTTAGCTGTGGAAATCAATGTACATTTATGACGACTTTGGCTCAACAATCCAATCCAATCCAATCTAATCCAATCCAATCCACTTTATTTATATAGCACATTTAAACAACAGTTACGTTTCCAAAGTGCTGCACAAAAAAGTATAAAATAAATAATAACTTCTCCTTAGCTTCACCAAGTCCATCCATCCATTTTCTTCCCCTTAATCCATTTCTGGGTCGGGGGGGTGGCCAGAGCTACACCCAGTACACAGAGCACCAGCCCCTCACTGATCCTCCTGCAGGAGCTGAGTCCACAGGAGCTGAGATCTTTCAGTGGGGGCTTCAGGCAAAGTGGGGTTAAGTGTCTTGCCCAAGGACACAACGACAGCAGTCATCAGTGGGAGTCGTGAAGTGGGTCTTATGGTGGGCTTGAACCCACGACCTTCAGGCTCAAAGGCCAATGCTCTACCAACTGAGCTACTGTCGCCCCAGCTTCACCAAGTAAAAAAGAATAAAAATATATAAAACAGATTAAAACCATAAATAGAAATAAAATAAAAACACAGAGGACCACACGACTCACGCAGTGTTAAAAGTCAAAGAGTAAAAGTGGGTCTTAAGACGAGACTTAAAACACTCTACAAACAAGTGAACTCTACGATGCAGACGTTCATAAAGACAAGACGTGACGCCAAGTTAGCTACACCCAAGCGGACATTTTCAAACATTTATCATTATTAAGTGTTTTGTGTGAAGGGCAGCGATGCAGTTGGACATGTCAGGACTACTTTGATAATAGTTTGAACAGTTTTAGTTGAGCCTGTGATTAAGCAGCTTTGTCCAAAATTATATGGAAAAAGCTGCTTAATCCACAATATACTGTAATCCCTATAATGCTTTTTCCATTTAAAGCTGAGATGGCATTTGATTAGTTTAGGCTTACAATATTTACATCACAATAGCCAATACAAACTTATTAGAAACTTTCTGGATCATTCACAGGAAATTGTTGCCACCTCTCACTGATTTTACACGTATACATTAAAGCCCCAGCCTCTTTACACGATGGATTTAAGTTGATTGATCTGAGTTTATACAGCTGCAGTTTTTCCGTGACCTTGTTCTTAAGACTGTGGACACCCCATTACAGAGCCTGCTTTTTAAACTAACAAATTACCGCTAAACCGATGAGTTGTCACTGCACCAGACCCTACTCCTGGGGAGATGTTGAGATCCCACACAGAAAGTTTGGACTGCTCTGCCCATCAGGGGACATCTGAGGAAGTCAATTTTGGAACAGCATTAGCAGACATAAGAGAATGTCCAATTCACTGCTCTTTTAAAATAACAACTAAAACATAGCCTTAAAATAAATCAGAGCTGAACAGTTGTACAGTAAATCAGTGGTTTTGCTTTAATTTGGTAATTTGTGTGCAACTTGTATATGATTGTTCATTATTGTGTGTTGTACTGACCAAATAAACACAATCAAAAACAAAGGGGGCTCTTGTACACTGTGTGGCTCTCCCAGTCCAACTGCACACCCATACATCTTTGATTGGACACTACTTTGCCCTAGATTTTCATTAGTTTTTATGGTGTTGAGGATGGATTTATTGTCATTGTTCGAGAGCAAGAAATGGAGTTTAGTGCATCAGAAGCACTGCGTAGTTTGTTATCAACCCCAGAATCCTGGAGAAAATCCTCAGCAAATCTAGATGTGCAACACTGCAGCTCAGTAACATGGAGATATACCAGCACTCTAATCCACAAAATCCTCTATTGTCCTCTGCTACTTCTTCTTCTTTCGGAGTTTTATCAGGCTGACAACTGCAGTATCATCATAACTGTCTATAAAAATCGGTTGCTGGTGTTCTGGAAATCCACAGGGTAGATGGCAAACAGAAATGGGTCACGTACTGATCCCTGTGGTGCCCCTGTGCTGCCTATGATGTCCTCTGAGACACACACACTATGGCCTGAGATTAATTCACTTCCGTTCCGCTCAGCATCTCACCCAGTAGCACAAGGTTGATGCACAAGTCAAGATTACAAAAGTTTACTGAGATGTCGGGGTTGTCCAAATGTGCAATGCACTTGAACCATGAACGTTCTATTTGGATTATTCTGTGAGGATTTAGTTCGGTTCTCACTGATTTTTCTTCCCCATTTCTGCTGCTCCTTCAGGTGTGCAGATGTATGTGTGTAACCGGGAGCACTATGGCTTCCTCCCTGTCCCGCTCAAAGCCCAGCAGAACGTGGACGATGAGAGGGAGAGCTTCATCCATACCATCACCGAGGCTTTGAGTACGTGTCGATGTCAGCGCAATTGGGCTTGGTCTCCTCGAGTTTTGAGTCCAGCCTTAAGAACATTCAACAAAATCTGGTTAAATGACCTCACTGGTCTGACAGGGACATGCAAAGATACCAGTTCTGTCAGATATACAGGGTTAATGTTTATATTCAACCATGAGCCATTCTTTCAGACCTCCCACTCTGCTAAGCCAAACGCAATCAAGCAAAACTTTAATCATTTGCTTTTATAACCCATTTCTACAGTTGATTACGATATTGAGCCCTCAGAGTACCTCCGTGTCCCACCCTCGCAACCAGATAAAATAGGCTTTGATGAAGTAAGTCATTTTTATATTGGCTAATTCAATTTACACACCTCTTTATTCATTTTGTGTCATTTTCTTTAGGTATTTCTAATAAACCTGAAGCGGAGGCTGGACAGACGGACCCGAATGTTTAAATCTATGTCTGCACTCGGTCTGCACCCAACACTGACTGAGGCAGTGGATGGAAAGTAGGTCATTCTAAATCTATCTTTGACAAATGTGTAAAATTGAAGGAAATGAATCTTCCAACGACACTGTGTTCGTATCAGGGCTTTGAACTCGAGCCAGCTGCAGGCTCTGGGAATAGAGATGATGCCCGGGTATAAAGACCCGTACTCAGGCCGCGTGCTGACCAGGGGAGAAATCGGCTGCTTCCTCAGTCACCACTCAATATGGAAGCAGGTGGGGCAATAGTTCATGATGAATTCCTTACTATTGTAACATAAAGATAGTTTTTTATGAAATACTATTTGACATTTGTACAGTCACTCATGCTTTGGTCTAAATCTGCCTTAAATACCTGGCATTCCAGCTGTCCACCTCAGAGATAACTCACTGTGACAAGTGTCTCTCTGGGTGTGTGTGGCCCTTAGGTGTTGGAGCGGGGACTCCAGAAGGTGCTTTTGTTGGAGGATGACGTGAGGTTTGAACCCAGGTTCAAGAGGCGGCTTCAGGCCATCATGGAGGACACGGACAGAGCCCAGCTGGACTGGGACCTTATGTGAGTCCTGACTTTCTTAAAAACTATCGTGAGTCAGGCAATCATAATCAAAGTGTCTGTTGTGTTTCAGTTATGTGGGCCGTAAGCGCATGCAGGTACAGCACCCGGAGAAGTCTGTTGAAGGTGTAAATAATCTAGTGGTGGCGGACTACTCTTACTGGACTCTCGGATACGCACTGTCACAACAAGGAGCAAGAAAACTATTATCAGCTCAGCCATTCACCAGGATGCTGCCCGTGGACGAGTACCTGCCTGTCATGTTCAACAAACACCCCAAGTGAGTTTTACATTTTTATTCCAATAATGTGCCACTAACCAGCTGCGTGTGGTGCCTCGGGAGTCAGCAACAGTGTAGCAACCACACATGTATTATTACAGGTGTCTGGGCCTTTTACAGTGGACTGTAAATCCTAGCGTACATCGACAGAGAAACTGGGGACAACTAGTTGCAAGGCGGCTTTTGGCAACTGAGAGGAGATGGTGGGATATGATCAGTTGCCAAAATCGGTCGATGTGCGCGCTCTTACAACTGGAGATGATCAGTCGGTCTCCAGTTTCAGTCAGTTGCCCGTGTTCTACTTTTCGGCAACTAGTTGTCCTCAGTTTCGGAGATATGACCCGATGTGCGCGCTCCATGCGCCGCTCCGACAACGTGTGTGTATTGCGAGCCCGCAACAGTTTATGTCAGAAAACACACTGTAGTTGAGGCCAGTTGCTGTCGATGTACGCGCTGTTATTCCCGAGACTGGTCTGCTACTGGGAGTTGCCCGTTTTCGTCAGATTGTCAATGTGTGCGGGGCAGCAACTCATATGCGACGGATATAATCAGTTGCCAGTCCGATGTACGCTAGGCTTTAATAACAGCGCGTACATCGACAGCAACTGGCCTCAACTATAGTGTGTTTTCTGACATAAACTGTTGCGGGCTCGCGATACACGCAATACACACATCAGGTTGTCGGAGCGGCGCATGGAGCGCGCACATCGGGTCATATCTCCGAAACTGAGGACAACTAGTTGCCGAAAAGTAGAACACGGGCAACTGACTGAAACTGGAGACCGACTGTTCATCTCCAGTTGTAAGAGCGCGCACATCGACCGATTTCGGCAACTGATCATCTCCCATCATCTACTCTCAGTCGCCAAAAGCCGCCTTGAAACTAGTTGTCTCCAGTTTCTCTGTCGATGTACGCTAGGCTTAAGTGTCCACACTTACAACATGCAAGTGTGCATAGGCTTAAGAACAGAGTGCATGACATACTGGCATAATGAGGAGTGTGTGTTCTGGTGGTTGACCACAGCATATATATATATATATATATATATATATATATATATATACATATACAATAGAGGTGTGCGGTATGGAGCCCCTCTTCTCCTTGTGTGCCTGCTAACACAGGGTGGAATGTTCCTGGGGTTCAGTGGGTACACCTCCTGTCTTGGGGCCCACAATGGCCCTATTCTGCTGAGATTCCTGTCATAGCCCGAGACTTATTACCTCCAGCACGGCTGTATTTTGACCTGTCATATAATGCGTGTGTAAGCCTCCGTGTTGTTCGCTAGAGCATAGAGTGACTCCCCCTTCTTCCCTTTGCTGTTGGAGGAATGTGTGGCAGCGAGGCTCTTCCTGCCCGGAGAAGGGGACAGGATTCCCATTGATACAGGCTGCGTTTGGGGGTGGGGAAACATAACTATGCTCCAGTTGTGTGGAGGATGGATTACTGTGTAAATAAAAGAGAAAGTAAATTTGTTCCTAAATAAAAGTTGTGGGAATGTGGCAGGGTAAATGTGGCTAAATAGGATACATAAATAACGTTATTATAGAATTATTTTGCAATGGAGGAGAAAACTGTAAACACACACTCATGGTTTTCTCATAAAAGTGAAAGTTTATCCGTTATCACAGGAGTGATAACGGCTCTCACCCTGACCCTTGTGACCTCATAGTGCAAACCAAACGTGTCCAAGTCAAATTTGAGCTGGAAGCAGCATTTTTAAACACTGTGTAATTTGTAAGCATACAGATCCACACTGTAAGAGACAAAATATCAAAATAACATGCACATTTTTGTATCTTAAAATAAACTCATGCAATAAAATAAAAATAAATGATTGTATTAATGATGATTGTGTCAAAGAAGCATTTCCATTATCAAAGTCATATCCTCCTTTTTATTTCCTTTGTGTGGCAGAGGATCGAACATCTCTTTGAAGCTTTGGGCATTCCGCTGTAAACAAATACAAACCATATTTGCCACGGTCGTAAATGTTATGATTGACAAAGACAACTCCCATTGATACCATCTGTTTTGTGTGGAGCTTTGCCACATGGAGGATTCCACGCCAAATATGATTTCATTTGTAAATAGCATAGCGTGGTTTTCATTGGTTAACCACTTAAAAAACAAAAATGTATCAAATGTATGTGCATGCAAGTCGTTTGGTGAAGAAAAGCAAAGCATATGTTGTCAAAATAGTTGCTCCATCAAAAACAGACCTGCAGTAGACGCTGAGATCAGGACCATCTGGATCAAACCTGCACAAACCTGTCCCCCTACCCCTTCTGTCCAAATTATATGTTTTCAAACTTGGTAAGCTGTGATGAATTCCCAGACCATGACACTTTTTGCTTTTTGTTTTACTTTTTGCCTCCTAATAATGTGTGATGATGAATGAGTAAGAACATGATTTTGGTCAACACTAGATGGGACTGGTACATACATGTTAAAGCTGTGGAACTTTAATCTTAAATAATACATCTTGACAGAAAGAGTCAGACCACAGTCATAGTTTTCAGAAAGAACCTTGACTCTTGGGCTGAGAGCGGATTGGCTGAGTGAGGGTGGTCCTTTTGTTTTCTATATTTTTAAATGTGAAACTGTTTTGAGAGATGATGGTTTACAATTGCCTAGATATTTGTTTGTCTGGTCCCAAAGTAAATATTGTCAATATCATGTTTAACTTTCAAAACACAAAAAATATGTAATCAAATCCATGTAACTTCTGAAAATACTGGTTCACTACTTTACACTTGCAGCACTTGGGCGAGACGGTGGCTGAGTGGATAGCAAGAAGGTCCTGGGTTCGAATCCCGGTCAGAACAGGGCCTTTCTGAGTGGAGTTTGCATGTTCTCCCCGTGTCTGCGTAGGTTTCCTCCGGGTGCTCCGGTTTCCTCCGGGTGCTCCGGTTTCCCCTACCACTAAAAACATGCACAATAGGTCTGAATGTAAATGAGAGAGTGAATGGATGGTGTTGGAGCTGATGGTCCAGTGTGTTCTGGACTCGCTTCTGTCATCACCGTGTGTGGAAGGATTGGAACAATATCTGACTCTGAACATTGGAAAGTGCTTTGGTTCTGACCATGGTCTGTAAAATGCGCTATATAAAAAAACATTACTTACTTGCTTGTATTTTCAGCCTTTGACACATCTCTGCTGCTGCGACATAAAGAGCTGTTGCATTTTAATACTACTAATGTTAGCTACTTTTAGAATAATCTATGTATTTGTTTTGTTTGTATGGATGCATGTGTTTCTGCTGCTTCTTGACACCTGAATTCCTCCTACAGGGGATCAATAAAGTACCTATCTTTAGATCAGCTTTTTCAGATGTGAAAGAGAGAGAACCATCCTCACTCAGATCAAACAGTGACTCAAGTATGCAAAAGATACCACGTGTTCTAAGAAGAAGAGAGCATGTCTGATTTGTTCACCGAATGTTACTTTCACCAGACTCTTTCTATTGGGTTAAACAAAATTTAAGTTTTGAGCTCTCATGGTCGTCCTCTCTGTGCTTCTCTCCCGTCTCTAGTGTGGAATACATGTCTCACTTCGAGCCGCGGGACCTAAAGGCCTTCTCCGTGGAGCCGCTGCTGATCTACCCCACTCACTACACAGGTGAGCCGGGTTACATCAGCGACACCGAGACCTCCACCATCTGGGACGACGAGAGCGTGGCCACGGACTGGGACAGACAGCATGAAGCCCGAAAGACCGCTCAGCAAGGCAGCATCCGAGCCGTGGCCCAGAACACGGTGACCGGAGACAGCCCTCCCCCTGCCGCCCGGGCCTCAAGAGACGAGCTGTGAGAGGAGGGGATGTGTGGAAGATCTGGACTCTCTGGACACTCTGGACTCTCTGGAGGATCTGGACTCCCTGGACACTCTGGACTCTCTGGATACTCTGGACTCTCTGGAGGATCTGGACTCTCTGGACTCTCTGGAAGATCTGGACTCCCTGGACACTCTGGACTCTCTGGATACTCTGGACTCTCTGGAGGATCTGGACTCTCTGGACTCTCTGGAGGATCTGGACTCTCTGGACTCTCTGGAGGATCTGGACTCCCTGGACACTCTGGACTCTCTGGATACTCTGGACTCTCTGGAGGATCTGGACTCTCTGGACTCTCTGGAAGATCTGGACTCTCTGGACACTCTGGACTCTCTGGATACTCTGGACTCTCTGGAGGATCTGGACTCTCTGGACTCTCTGGAAGATCTGGACTCTCTGGACACTCTGGACTCTCTGGACACTCTGGACTCTCTGGATACTCTGGACTCTCTGGAAGATCTGGACTCTCTGGAAGATCTGGACTCTCTGGACACTCTGGACACTCTGGACTCTCTGGACTCTCTGGACACTCTGGACTCTCTGGACACTCTGGACTCTCTGGACACTCTGGACTCTCTGGACACTCTGGACTCTCTGGAGGATCTGGACTCTCTGGACACTCTGGAAGATCTGGACTCTCTGGACACTCTGGACTCTCTGGACTCTCTGGACACTCTGGACTCTCTGGACACTCTGGACTCTCTGGAGGATCTGGACTCTCTGGACACTCTGGACTCTCTGGAGGATCTGGACTCCCTGGAGGATCTGGACTCCCTGGACACTCTGGACTCTCTGGAGGATCTGGACTCCCTGGACTAAGAGTGTGCACAGTGCGACTTGTGCACGCTCGCTGGAAAAGACTCTTGAACCTGACCCGCAGTCACACAACACAAATTGGCCCCATTGACAAAATACAGTCATTCTGTTTAATGTATGTACAGTATCTGCAGCCTCTATCTGGACAGCCATACTATCGTGACACATGATGTGGTTCAAGTATTTCAATCTTTTGACCATGTTACAAGCATTTTCTGTATAAATAGATAAACGATACTAACCTGGTAGCTCAATGAAACTCTGACAAACTCGCTCTGGTTCCTATTGACTTAGATTGAAGAGTAAACTGCTCTAGCTCAGTAACCATTTGTGTCACACTCAGTATTTTGAGATCTCTGTAAATCCTGATGTGAGCCACAAGTTTTGACCAATCAGATAACACAGAAACTCATCTACCCCTGTAGTGCCCATACAGAAATCGGTTCCAGCTCGAAGATCAAAAACCCGCTTCTTCTGCATTCGACAAACACAGTTGGTCAGTCCAAACTTCTACAACTTCAAACGTCATTAGGATTTTTTAACAAATAATATATATAAAATAATCCCTTGGAAAGTATCAATACTCAGGACAATGTGATGGATTTTGCTTGGTTATTTGTGTTAAGAATTCCAGACCATTCTCCAATGTTTAATTTTTGTATTAGTTTATCACCGAGGTATCAACATTGGTATCGAGTATCGAGTCTATTGGTCTCAGAATAGAGTTTTTCTTTGTAGGATCGTGACAACACTAGTTCCAACTAAAAACATTATTTCCAAATGTTTTAGCTCCTTTCCCACGCTCCTTTGATCTCCAAAGTTGTGACTCGATCCTGTCATATGTGATTCTGACCAATCCATTAATGCCTACACTGAGCCCAAACAACACTGCGATGGTTATTCTGAAAATGGACCAAAACCAAAAACCCATGTTCAATTTGGATCTACAGTATATGTTATGTTTTCTTCTGGGGTTGTTAGCTTCCGAGATTATTATTATTTAATCTCAGACACTGAACCAGGAACAAAATGAGTGAATTTGGAGGGTGATCCAGAGCAGAGTTTGGATTGAGGATTTGTTTAATTTTTTTTATTGTGTATTTTTTAAGAACTGCGTCTCTTGCCGGAAGTCCATGCTCTACGAGTGCTTTTCCTTTCTTTCTCCTCTTCTACCACTTGATGGAAGTCTGCACAGTCTGGTCATATCTCACACCATTTGTTATTGTTATTCATATATTTTCTACTTAATGCAGATCAAGACCCAGCTAAGAAAACAAAAACCAATAATACATCATATTTGTTCATTAAATATGTTTATACTGCACACAAAAATTACTATTACCGGTACTAAATGTATATTCTAGGTTAATTACAACAATAAAAAAGGATTTTGTAAAATAATTAGAACAAGTAAATGCGTATAACTCAAATATTGGGTTTATAACTGGGACTGCAGCTTTGATAGCCTGGTTGTACCACACCATAGTACACATTTCATTTCGTTCTAAGGTCTGGATTTGCTTCATTGACTCCGTTAACAGGTGGGAGGGGTTAACTCCTTTTGCAGATTGAAACGATTGGATCTGAGTTTACCGTGACGAATGTAGTGCACCTGAGTGAGTCGTTAGCATTTAGCATTTAGCCTAGCTTTAGCCGTCTCCTTTGCTGCTAACGGAGCCCGTGGGGAGTAGTGCCACAATTTCTTCCAGCGATTACATTTGCTAAACATTCCTCTTGCTCCGGCTTCAATTTCTTGATAGAACGAGACCGGATTACTTTACTATTGCATTCTTCGCCATTTCTAAACTACAACCTTCCCGTTCGACGCAAACTCTTGACGTCACCCACAATTAAATACAACACTCTCCTTCCGCGCTCTCTGATTGGTCGGTCGAAATTCAACCGATTGTAATCGCTAACACAGGGACCAGACCCAGACGTTACATGCAGTGAAATGACGACTGAGCGGAGAGTACGGATGGATAAGACCAGGCTATAGTTTTGATTGAATCCGTTTCATGAGCGTCCTTCATTTGTCTTTAATGGTCCATTATTGACCTCTGCAACTGGAACACCTCACAATAACAATTCTGAACAGTATTCTTGCGTCTAATATCAACAAACTCCGGCATTTATCCTACCGACTCTGGTTGTCAGGTCTCAGGTGCTGTGGTCATAATGTTATGGTCAGTGTGTTTCACTTAACTACTGAAAGATCTCATTGGTCATCTTTTGGACGTTGTACAATTGGGACTGTGTGAGCTGAAGATGTGAAACAAACAAACCAGTTTTTTATGCTGTTTATAAATTGTTTTATTTAAAGACGTGTGTAATGGGTTTTTCTCATGTTTCTGTGTGAACTGTATGAATGACTGAGCCTTTTCCTTTGACTTATCCAGGGGCAAAAGTAACATCAACGTTTGTACATAGTTTCATGTTTCAAGTAAGAACTATCAAGTGAAAGAAAAATTAGATATTTACTTTCCAACGGGACAATGAGCCTGAACATAAAGCCAGAGCAACAATAGTTAGAATGGCCCAAGTCCTCTCCAGACCTTCATCCAGTTGAAAATCTGTGCATCTGACCGAGCTATTTTTTTTTAAGATTTGATTTGGTTTATTTCAAGCTTATAAACAGGAATCAATTATGGAATTTACAGCACTTAAATTCATTCATGCATTTTACGTTTTCCTGTTTTTCACTCCTGTCAAAGCTCAAAAAGGATTGGGAAGAAGAGAGAAACAAGATTAGTTTCACAAATACTTTTGAACAGGTGATGAATCGCTCTAATGTTGTGAGGAAGGACCCAAAAAGCCGGAATGTAAACATCATAATTTAATGAGGATGATGAAATAGAAGTCCACGGTAAAAAATGTGACTCTGGCCTTAGATAAAAAAAGATTACTTACGAACTTACTTAACCAGACCGACAAAGACATTGACAATGAACCAGCGACAAGTGGCGGTGAGCACAGGGTACACAGAGGCACAGGTGATAAACAGGAGACAGGAAGTAAAACTAAAACCACAGGGTAAAGTAGTCAAAACAAATCAACACAAAATTGACACCATGACACTGCAACTTTTTCATTTAATCAACATGAAAAACTGAAAGTGAATGGCTGTTAAGTAACTAATTACAAATAACCAGACGGAACATTGGGAATACAGATGAAGAGCGGCACGGTGGCTGAGTGGATAGCACTCTCGCCTCTCAGCAAGAAGGTCCTGGGTTCAAATCCCGGTCGGACCAGGGCCTTTCTGAGTGGAGTTTGCATGTTCTCCCCGTGTCTGCGTAGGTTTCCTCCGCGTACTCCGGTTTCCCCTACCACTAAAAATATGTCCAATAGTTCTGGCATGCGCCTCCTGTACTGGCGACCCCACTCCCATCTCTGTGTGGAGTGAGAGACAAATGCCCATAATTAACAATTGTAAACCGCTTTGAGACTCAGATCTGCAGTGAAAAGGCGGTATATAAATAAAGATTACTACTATAAAGAGATTTTGAGGTATTATACAAAGGAGTCACATGACATTAACAGACAACCGTAAGAATGACCTGGAGGAAGGGACACAGGTAGTTCCAACTTCATGATCATAGAGACAATCGCAATGTTAAAAGTAGATAAAGATTAGTTAAGAGATCCTTCATTCGTCCCACAGTGGGGAAATTTCAATGTTGCAGCGCACAGACAGGACAGTAGTAAGAGCACACAGGGAGCACACAAAACATAGATTTCTTAGCTAGCTGTAAATGCTTCAATATCAATATATCAATCTATCTCTTTCTACACATCCGGGGCGGGGTGATGCAGTCAGTAGATAAAGTATAAAGTGACGTTCAGTAAACATTCTGAAATTAGTTTACAACACATTGCGTTCGACAGTATTTACTATTTGCAGATGAATGACGTGTACAGGCTCAGCAGTTCTCATTGTACATTCTGACAGCAGCAGGAAGGAAAGACCTGAGGAACGGGTAAATAACAAGGGTCAATAACGAGGGTAAATAAGTCTGTCATTGAAGCTGCTCTCCATAGCAGACAGAGCGTCCTGCAGGGGGCGACAGTCATGTTCCAGCATAGATATTTTTGTCCAGCCCAGGACAGAGGACACAAAGGACATAATGTTTGCCTGTTATGTAAGTATATCATCTGTATT